GTATCACAATCCCTGACCTCAAATTATACTAGGAAGCTACTGTAATAAGATCAACATGGTACTGGCTAAAAAACAGACCAGAGGATCAATGGAATAAACTAGAAGAAACAGCCACAACCACAAACACACTCAGCACCTAATCTTTGACAAAGGGGCCAAACAAGCTCAGTTTAAGATAGCCTCTTTAATAAATGGTACTGGAAAAACTGGCTTGCCACTTATCAAAGACTGAAAGTAGACCCAAGTCTATCACCATGTAGCAAACTAAAGTCAAAATGGATCACATCTCAATATTAAAACAGAAACACTAAATCTATTGGAAGAGATTGTAGGTAAAAATCTTGAAGAAATAGGGGTAGGCAGAGAGTTCATGAACAGAAACCAAACTGCAAGGGAAATACTTCAAAGAATAAACAACTGGGACCTCATCTTACTACAGTTTTTGCACATCTAAAGAACTCACCAGCAAAGTAAAAAGGAAACCCACTAATTGGGAAAAAATTTTAGCAGCTGTCCCTCGGACAAAGGGCTTCTACCTAGAACATATAAAGAATTAAAAAACATCAGCCACCCAAAATTCAAAGACCCAATCAAATACATACTTCTCTAATGAAGAGATTCTAATGGCAAATAAATACATGAGAAAATGTTCAACATCATTAGCCATTCAAGAAATGCAGATTAAAACAACACTGAGATTTCATTTTACCCCAGTAAGAACGGCTATCATTAAGAAATCAACCAGTAACACATGCTGGAGAGGCTGTGGGGAGAAAGGAACCCTACTCCACTGCTGGTGGGAGTGTAGATTGGGGAAACCACTGTGGAAATCAATTTGGAGATTCCTCAGCAAACTAGGTCTAGAGGTCTCATTCAACCCAGCTATTCCCCTTCTGGGTATTTTCCCAGAAGAGCTGAAAACATCATATCACAGTGATATATGTGCACCCATGTTTATAGCAGCACAATGTGTAATAGTTAAATAGTGGAAGCAATCCAAATGTTCATCCACTGAGGACTGGATAAAAAAATTGTTGTAGTTTTATATAATGGAATATATTACTCAGCTATAAAGAAAGATAAACTCGAGGCTTTTATAGGTAAATGGTCACAACTACAGACCACACTCACAAGTGAAATAAATCAGACCTGAATGTGTAAGCAACATATTGTCTCACTAGTGTAAGAACTTGAAAGAGTGAATAAAAATTATGAGGTATGATAATCATTGTGAAACGAAAGGAAACTGCTCAAAAGTAAAGAGCAACTGGGGTGAGGGAACAGAGAAAAGAAACAAGGGGAAATTATGTATACATGTATATACAGGATAGCTAACATAGTTGTTTTACTGACTTCTATCACTTTATTGAAAGGAATAGTTCATGATTAATTATTTGATCAATCTTGCATGTCTCTATTTGTTTTCCTGAGTAACCATTTAGAAGTTATCAGTATGTAATACAACAACCATTGTTAATTCCTTGTCACTTTGTAATTCAGTACTGCTTGTACTATTCTTGTCCTACTTTGTAAATGGTTATCTGTTAATATGTTTTCTTTCTTTTACTTTTAACATAAAAAAAAAACAAAAAAGAAATTAAATGACAAATTCTGGAGAGGCAGTGCTGGAAGTCCTTTCCATATTGTTAGAATGAAAACCAGTGCAATCACTAGAGAAATCAGTATGGAGATTTCTCGAAAAGTAAAATTAGGAATTCCCTTCAACCCAGCCATTCCGTCTATAATCTTCCCCAAAGAGTTAAACATGTCACACTACAGCAATACATGGATATCTACATTTATAGCAGCACAGCTCCTAACAGCCAACTCGTAGAAGTGGGCTATGTATTCATCCACAGATGTGTGGGTGAAAGAAATGTGGTACTTGAACACAATGGAGCACTGCTTAACCATAAAACAGGATCAGTCTGAGTCATTTGTAGGCAAATGGATTCCCCATATTAAGTGAAGTAAATCAGGCACACAAGGTTAATTATTGCATAATTTCTCTTATGTGAGAAACCATGAAAGTGAAATAAAAGACAACAGAAAACTGGGAGATAGATCTTTTGCTAAGGCGAAGGAAAGGGAAATGGGCAGCGGGGAAAAGGTGGAAGGAGCCAGGGCGTTGTATGCCATGCCAGCTCCCCACGAGGAGTGGGCACTCCGCACTGTAAACAGGAGTGCTGAAGGACCATTTCATCCGAAAGCCAGAGCTGTCTGCTCTTTTCACGACAAACATGGAACTTTCCGTCTGCTGGAGGGCACTGCAATCACCGCGGCTATCACTGGTCCGCGCGTGTTCTGCTAGGCGGGCCCTGGCAGGTACTCAATAAACAAGCGTGACGGCATTGAAGTTTCTGATTAAGTCGGGCGTGGTGAGGCACACCTACAATCCCACTAGTCTAAGAGGCTGAGGCAGGATGACTACAAGTGGAAGCCCAGCCTTAATGACTTACTGAGACCCTGTTTGGAAAAGGGACAGGGATGTAGGTCAGTCGCAAAGGCCCTGGGTTTAATCAATCCTGCTACAAAAACAAAACGAAGGCAGGCAAACAGTAAGCTGGATGGAGCTCAGCAGCGATTTTTTGCGTCGGAGCGCAACTGTCTCAGTCCGGGCTCAGCCAGGAGGCCCCTGCCGTGGCCAGCGCTTCTAGCCGGGCAGTAGGGCTCCGTCCCTTTCAGGGGCGCTCCCCTCCTCTGCTCCTCCTCGGGCCCTCTAGCCCCAGACCGGCCGCGCGTGGAGCGGAGTGCGGGATCGCGCCGCCCGCAGGCGCCATGGGCGGAGGCGCTGGCCCACGTCTGGCCTTGCGCAGGGCTCCCCGCTGCCG